TGACTCCAGAGGGTCCACAGAGGAGACAGACCCACGTCAGCGTCCTCCCACTCTCTTACCTTCTTTTGCTGTTTCTTGTTGGGCTGCGGTGGAGCGTCTGTGGGGCGCAGGAAACAGCTGCTGTTAGAGGATCAATAACAATGATCAGCATGTGCTAAAGGAATAAATGAGATTACTTACTAGAGCTCTGATTGGCTGTCTGCAGCTTCTCCACGGGTTTCCCTTCATCCCTCCTCCTCTCTGATTGGTCGGCCCTGACACAGAAGGACAGACTGATTTAAAGTGTAGATCTAGAATCTACAAACACACACTAGACTGCCGGACCACACCCAACGTTTGGAGTCAGAGTCAGGGCTGGGCGATAAAACGATAACGACATACATCAAAAATTAATTTCCTTTAATATCAATATCAAACATGATCAATATCCTTTTCAATAGTCGTCATTCTGACATGTTCTGGTCGACTATACAAACAGCCAATGAAAAGGGGAGTTTCTCCGGGTCTGAACCAATCATGTTCTGAATTAGAACCAAGTATCAACCAACTGCTGCGTCGTAGCAGACAGCAGCTCCACCCAACCATAGCACTTTAACAGGTGAAGTGAGGAGAGGAGGAGAAAGGAGAGGAGATGGGAGAAAGGAGAAAGGAGACAGGAGAAAGGAGAGGAGACAGGAGAGGAGACAGGAGAAAGGAGAGGAGACAGGAGACAGGAGAGGAGACAGGAGATAGGAGGAGGAGAAAGGAGAGGAAACAGGAGACAGGAGAGGAGACAGGAGATAGGAGAGGAGACAGGAGATAGGAGGAGGAGAAAGGAGAGGAGACAGGAGACAGGAGATAGGAGAGGAGGAGAAGAGGAGACAGGAGATAGGAGGAGGAGAAAGGAGAGGAAACAGGAGACAGGAGAGGAGACAGGAGATAGGAGACAGGAGATAGGAGGAGGATCAAGGAGAGGAGACAGGAGAAAGGAGAGGAGACCGGAGAAAGGAGAGGAGACAGGAGAAAGGAGAGGAGACAGGAGATAGGAGACAGGAGATAGGAAGAGGAGAAAGGAGAGGAAACAGGAGACAGGAGAGGAGACAGGAGATAGGAAGAGGAGAAAGGAGAGGAAACAGGAGACAGGAGAGGAGACAGGAGATAGGAGACAGGAGATAGGAAGAGGAGAAAGGAGAGGAAACAGGAGAAAGGAGAGGAGACAGGAGAGGAGATAGGAGAGGAGACAGGAGGAGGATCAAGGAGAGGAGACAGGAGAAAGGAGAGGAGACAGGAGAAAGGAGAGGAGACAGGAGATAGGAGGAGGATCAAGGAGAGGAGACAGGAGAAAGGAGAGGAGACAGGAGAGGAGACAGGAGATAGGAGACAGGAGAAAGGAGAGGAGACAGGAGAAAGGAGAGGAGACAGGAGAAAGGAGAGGAGACAGGAGAAAGGAGAGGAGACAGGAGATAGGAGGAGGAGAAAGGAGAGGAGAGGAGATAGGAGAGGAGAGGAGAAAGGAGATAGGAGGAGGAGAAAGGAGAGGAGAGGAGACAGAAGATAGGAGGAGCGTATCCCGTGCGACACTGACCTGTCCACCGTCTCCATGCGACAGTCCCAGTGTGGAAACCTGCGGGTCAATCAGGAAAAACTGGTTAAAGATTCCATTTCCTGTTTCATGCGTTCATATTGAAGCCCCTCCTCTCTGGTGTGACAGAGTGAGGAGCTGAATGATGTTGGAGGAGTTGGAGGAGATTCACCTCTGCAGCAGGCTGAGCTGTCCGTCTGCATGGTGAGGCCCGTTGATGTGCTTCAGCCACACCTACGAGACAAAAACACGCCGCAGGAGTCAGCTGAAACTTTCCCATCATCCCTCTGCACCCCCCCCCCCCCCCCCCCTTACCCACCACAAACCGTCACTCAAGAGTTTCCGTGAGGAGGGGACTCTGTTACCTTCTCTGACATCACAGTGATAGCGCACAGAGAGCATGAGTGTGGGTAAGATGGCGGCGTCGCTCCGTGGAAGTCCAGAGCTTTTTGTCTGGAGGGCAGTGAAGCAGAGGTGGTCCTGGTGGAGGAGGTGGTGGAGGAGGTGGAGGTCTCAGGCCTGCTGCGCCCCCAAGAGGGTTTAGGGTCTTGAGGCAGAGGAGCAGATGTGTAGACAGTCTGAGAAGGACGAGATGTTTGGTCTCGACCTGCGGAGCTGAAAGAAGGTCGGTCCTGAGAAGAAACCGCACCAACATTTCTGCTGGTCTTTCCAAAGTCAGGAGGTCCATGTCTGCTGTAGAAGTCTGTAGTGGAAACAGGAGCAGGATCCCTGGCTGACTCACCGAACTCAGGGGGTCCTGATCTGTGGTGGTAGTCCTGAGAAGAAACCGAACGGCTGTCCCGGCCTGGCTTTGAGAACTCAGGGGTTCTGGATTTGTGGCAGTAGTCCTGGGAAGAAACTGGACTGGGGTTACCAAACTCAGGGGGACCTGGTCTGAGGTGAAGGTCCCCCATGTGGCTGGAGGAGGATAACAGCGGCGGCGGCGGCAGTGGTGGTAACGGCGGCGGCGGTGGTAGACGTTGTTTTGAGCAGCTGAGGGTGATGGGATTCCCCCAGCGGTCTAGCTCAGGGATGAGAGGACTGGGTTTTACTTGGCCTATCGGGTACTGGACCAGCTGGCTGCGGGGTTGGTCCCAGGAGGAGGAGGAGGAAGGAGCGGCGGAGCTGAGGGGATAAGGTCTGACGGTCCCCCTCTTCCCTTTGATCTGTTTGAGGACCTGAGGCAGCGACTCCACGGTCAGAGCGTCTTCAGGCAACTCAGCCAGCAGGGCCAGGTCGGTGGGCTCCAGTCCACAGCTGTTCAGGATGCTGAAGGCGCCGTCATGTGACCACTTAGTCGCTCTGGAGGAGGAGGATGAAGAGAAGGAGTCCTGTGACGCCGTGTAAGAGTGATGGTCGGGCGAAGCGTGGCGGCGGCGTGAAGAGCTGTGGGGTTCAGGATCAGGCCTGTGGTTGGAGTCGGGCTGCGATCTTCTGTACGAGTAGTTGTGAGACATGATGGGAGGAGAAACGCTCAGAGCGTTTCCTGCAGACAGAGGATGTCAGGGAAGACAGGAGATGTCAAATCAGGAAGAGGAGGTTTCAATCAGCTGACATTATCAAACACCAAAAAACAAGAGAGACGACACCGAGAGACCAGCGCTCTCAAATCAAGACTGACAGCAGGCTCCGCCTCACATCGGACCAAACTTACCAGACGTCCAGATGTTCACCTGTAAGAGTCCACGTGATAGTCAGAGCCAGCACAGAAACATCTCAGTATCTGCTGCTGTTTCCAGAGCGCTGTCGAGGAGAGCCGTCACCCTCATGAGTTCAGGTCTCCCTGAGTCACGGTTCTGCAGTGATGTGAAGCTTCGGCGTCAGTCCAGCAGACTAAGACCCTCACTAACCAAAGAGCCCGTCCTCCTCGTCACGTCAAAGATGATGTCAGCGTTTAAAGTGGATATGAACAGCTGTCAGTCAGAGGTCAGAGGTCACATGTGTGTGCTGGCTGCACTGCTTCTCTTCGGGTCTGCGACACTGGCTATGTGCTGGAAAGACGACCCCAGGTGTGACTGGAGCCCGGCTCAGATCGTCATCATACTGGTTAGTGGTCCACCATTACCAGCTTATTACTGGCTGGCACTGGGTCTGTTGTTTTAGTCTTTCATGTCACTTCAGCTTCATCAAACAAACAGATAAAAAACTAAATTATTCTGTCTCAGTACACTGAAAACGATGTAGTGCATATGCCAAGCCTGTAAGTGGCGCTGTAACACTGCACAGGAAATGACGGGTAAAGAGGACACGTATAAAGGTTGTTTTGACCTCATAGAGAGGAAAATCAGTTTGAGGATTTTAATCTTTTTAACACTGTCATGATTAAATAGTCTGATTAGGATTAAAAATGATTAATCCTGCAGCAGTAATCTCTTTCTAATCAGAGCGCTCTCCTCCTCCGACACACCTTTACCTGAGTGAGTGAAACCACACCCACATTCAGATCTGATGTCCAGGACTGTAATACTATAACACTGTAATACCACAACACTGCAATACTACAACACTACAATACTACAACACTGTAATAATACAACAGTGTAATAATACAACACTACAACACTGCAATACTACAACACTGTAATAATACAACAGTGTAATAATACAACACTATATTAATACAACACTGTAATACTACAACACTTTAATACTATAACGCTGTAATACTACAGCACTGTAATACTACAACACTATATTAATACGACACTGTAATACTACAACACTGTAATACTATAACACTGTAATACCACAACACTGCAATACTACAACACTACAATACTACAACACTGTAATACTATAACACTGTAATAATATACCACTGTAATACAGTGTTATAGTATTACAGTGTTATATTATCACAGTGGTATATTATTATAGCATTATAGTATTACAGTGTTGTATTACAACAGTGTTGTAGTATTACAGTGGTATATTATTATAGTGTTATAGTATTACAGTGTCGTAGTATTACAGTGGTATATTATTATAGTGTTATATTATTACAGTGTTATAGTATTACAGTGTTGTATTACTACAGTGTTGTAGTATTACAGTGGTATATTATTATAGTGTTATAGTATTACAGTGTTATACCATATTAACTGTATAAAAATGAAAAGTCAGACCACCTCTCCAAAGTGTCATTGGGGAAATATAATATTAAATATACTTTAAACATGAAAGAACATCCGGTGTACACACACACACACACACACTAACCCATAGAGAGGATCATACAGTTAGCCTGTCAGCTAAGGACGGTTAACTTCTTCATAAACTCAGTTTCTGTTCAGTCTCAGAGGAGACAATGATGAAGTTAATCCTCTAAACAGACTCTTTATCGGTCACACTTTAACGGTAACACTTTAACGGTAACAGTTTATCGGTTATAGTCTAATGGTTACTCTTTATCGGTCACAGTCTAACGGTAACTAGTGAACTACTGCAGTTGCTAAAGCTAAAGGCTATTGGAAAAACGTCTGTTCAGCAGGCGGCTTACCTTCAATTCAAGCACAAAACCTTCACGATATAACCGCACTGGTGCTTCTTTAAAAAATAAGAGGAGTATATGAAGCTGCACATCTGAAAATACTGTTAATAAACTGTAATAAACACAAAAGTGTCGCTAAATCTGACGAGCTAACGTCCAAACACCGCTGTTCTTCTTCTTCGTCCAAGTCTTTACATGATGATGTTGACGAATATATACAGCGCCTCACTGTCACCTGCTGGTAAATTTAGGAATGACACTTTCGGCCTCCATGGGCGCTCAACGACTGCAGATTATTATCCCAGTGTAATTAATCTATAATAACAGGTAAACTATATTCGTGTTGCACTTTTCAATACGGACAAAGTACTTCACCATGACAATAAAAACAAGATAAATTACAAATAAAACAAAGACGGCCACACACAAGGTAAAAAACAAATACAAAGAAATGAAGTGAAAAGTTCACAGAATAAAAACTACAATAATTATTAAATGTAATTATTATTACAAAATAATACAATAAGACTCTGGTAGACTTATTTATGTGTCTCCTCCTTTGTACAGGTACACCCAGAAAGATGGGTTATGGTGAGAAAAGAAATCTATCTATCTATCTGTGTACATGTATGTGTGTATATATGTATATATATTTCATATATGTTTCATATATATTTCAATTAACTTTATTTTTTACTGGCTCTAAAGTAAAATATTTTACAAGAATATTTCAGTTTTTACTATTTTCCCTGAGAAATGCAAAACAAACCTGTTAACACAACAGCCCCTCCACTCTCCAGTAATTTAGATTCTGTCTGACGTCCACCAGGCTCAGGATGAAACAAACAAGAACTAGAACAGTCAGAGATGTCTGTGTGTTTCAGCTAGTCCAAATACTATACATATATACAGTATATATATATATATATATATATATATATATATATATATATATATATATATATATATATATATATATATATATATATATCCTACAGGCACCTGCAAACCCATATAAAAGTCACCTGGTCCAAAAGTACCAAAACCACTTTTACAGGGACCAAAGTCTTAAATAAGTACCACCATGACATTAAAACTAAACCAACATGTCACTCTAACAAAAAACTAAAAACAATAAATTGTGTAAAATAATAGAAATGATTCCAAACTGTGAAAATGGATCAAACACGTGCAGTTTGTCTGTTCTGGGCTTCTGTAGAAACACTGTGCTGCTCTGTAGATAAAAAAGACAAATTCTGAGTGAACGAAAACCCGAGTGTTTATGTTTTAGGTGATTCAACACTAATTTAAACAGACTGAATATTAAGTCTGTCCTGTTAAAAATCACTCACTGCAGCTTTAATCCAAATGTCACTCTGACTTTTTTGTGTTTTAACGACTTTTCTGGTCAGTGGGACCTTCAGCATTAAATTATAGTCAGGCAGCTTTATACCTGTTTTTCTTTCTGAGGTCTGGCTGTGCATGTTCTGGTTTTATCCACTGGGTGGCGCTGTAGGACTTTATTTGAACCAGATCTCTTCTGTCCCTAACGAGAGTTACTGAGGTATATTCAACAGTTTCCTCTGAACACACACGATTATAACCAACCTTCTAATTTAAATCTGTTTATTTCACAGTTCACATCCTGTGGAGATGAAAGATCCTAAACCAGAGTCAGACTATTACATGTCCAGGGTGAGAGACACGAGTCAAAGGTCAGAGTTCACTGAGGAACGACAGAAGAGCCGGTGAAGAGAGAGGTGCAGAGGGAAGGTGAGATGAACATGGTGTCAGTGATTTCTGAACAAAAAGACTAAAGGAGGAGTCGGCAGACAGGAGCTCTGAAGCCGAGCAGAGACGTAGATCTTCATTTTCAGCTTTCTGAGGTGAAATCTAGATTTTAAGATTTTAAAGACATTTATTCTGTCAGCAGGGTTTAGGTTTCTGCTGTGAGGGAGTCCAAAATAAAAGGATCAGGAGTCAGTCTCACAATTTAAAACCAACAAATTCATTTAAATTAAACCGGCTGACTGAAAAAAACGACCTCAATCATTCCTGAGCCTGTGCAGCTCCGTTTGTGTGATTTTACCCAAACTGTGAGGAGGAAGACAAAGGTGTGACGCTGATATTTCTCTGCACAGGTGAGTAAAAAAGAGTGAGATGATTAAAAAACACTGAAAGACCCCGTCCCAGTCAGATTACCTCAACAAACGAGAAAATTAAATGAAGATTATTTTGGTCAGCTTCCACAGTTTCTCTCCTCAACAAAGACTATAAAATAAATGTAAACCTGATTTATTAAATTAATGAATTACAAATCAACAAAAAAGGATGATGTCTTATTCCACTCTTACTCTGCAGTATAGACAGCCCTGAACTTCTACGTTCGGTTAAATCAAAAACAATCATTTTGATTTACAAAAAAAAAACAACAACCAGGAAACAAAGAAAGACACAAAGACCTGAAACACAAACCTGAGAGTGCAGCAGCGACACACGAGTCCGAACTCATCTGTACGTTTCATCAACTCCTTTTACACATTTTTAATTCCTCCTCCTGTAAATGTTTTTCACTCAAACTCAGATCGTCTTTATTTCTGACCTTCTCTTGGTTTTCTACAGAAACTGCTCTTCCATATTTCAGCTCTGCAGTCCGACTTCATTTTAGAGCCTCAGGAATAAGAAACAGTCTGTGGGTTAGTTTGTAGGAATAATCAGTAACATCTAAAGGTTTAACTAAAAGAAATAAATCATGAAACCTGCAAAGATTTATTCTTTATTGTCATCGTTCAGGTCCAACAAAACAGACGCAGAACTTCTCAGGTTCAGATCCGAACAGCAAATAACCAACATGTCTGTCTGTAACATTTCCGACGCTGTCAAATAAAAGAGCATTTCTGTAAAATAAAAGAACATTTCTGTCAAATAAAAGAACATTTCTGTAAAATAAAAGAACATTTCTGTCAAATAAAAGAACATTTCTGTAAAATAAAAGAACATTTCTGTCAAATAAAAGAACATTTCTGTAAAATAAAAGAGCATTTCTGTAAAATAAAAGAATATTTCTGTAAAATAAAAGAATATTTCTGTAAAATAAAAGAACATTTCTGTAAAATAAAAGAACATTTTTGTAGATTAAAGAACATTTATTAAAGAATATTTCTGTGAATAAAAGAACATTTCTGTAAAATAAAAGAATATTTCTGTAAATTAAAGAACATTTATTAAAGAATATTTCTGTAAAATGAAAGAACATTTTTGTAAAATAAAAGAACATTTCTGTAGATTAAAGAATATTTCTGTAGATTAAAGAACATTTCTGTAAAACAAAAGGAAATGTCTGCGGTGAGAAAGTGTGCGGTTTCTTGATAATCTTCTTTATATTCTCTGTGAACGGCTCTTGTTTTTTCTTTTTTCCAGTTTCCCGTGTTAACCCCGTCTCTCTCTCTCTCTGTTAAATCCTGTTACAGTTTCTAAGCCGACAGAAAAGAAGTCAAACACATTCACACTCAGGTGTCCTTTTTAAAAGCTCCTCTTGAATATTAAAACCTGTGAATGCTTCACGTCTTACTAATGATTTTATTCATTAAAACATGCAGTTTTAGATTTTCTCCGAGAAGCTGTTCCTGGATCAGTCCGAGCTGCTGTGGAGCCGACACAGTTTTTTCTCCTCTGCAGACCCGCCTGGAAAACAAAAGGCGGATTTTTTCTTTCAGTGTCTTTCAGGAATTCCCGTTCATGAGGCTGAAAACGTGCTAAAACACTCGGTGTTAAAACCCCCAAAAATCCGCAGATAAGGGTTCTGGTCCTGCAAGAGTTTGGATCATATATCAGGACAAATACGGCGCAGAATTTCTCTCTTTTATATAAAATGTTTCCAGATATTATGCAGCCAATGAAGTTAAATATGTGAATATACCTCTGTGCCCCAGCTGTAAATGTCTGGACTCTGAATCTGCAGCATATCAGGACTTTTTGTTGATCCTCAGATCTTCATGTTCTGATCGACCGGCTCAGAGATGCTCCACATTCATGAGGCTGTGGCTGCACAGTATTCTGGACCGAGTCGATGAGGATGATAATATTAAATATCTAAGAATATTAGAGAGATAAACACACACAATAATATTTTATAAAACACAGAAGCTGAAACAAAGAGAGAGGAGCAGTGATCAGATCATCAACCTTCTTTGATTCGCTCCGACTCTGCTGCAGCGACACAAACAGGACCGTGGTACCAGAGCAGGTTCTGATGATGCTGCTGCTGCTGCCAGCAGGTGGTGCCATAGACCACATGCCCAGATCCTCCGCTGACTCTGAAATAAGACGTTTTCATTTTAGGAATTAAAACCAAGAATCATTGATGAAGATATTGATTATCAGTTTGAACCCGGTCTGAAACACGTGAATGATTTTAATTCTTTATTGATCAGGTTTATTAAAAACACTCTGTCATAAAGAAAATCATGAATGTTCTGAAGAGGTTTTAAAGTCCAGTTTGATTTGGATGAATTTACAGAGAAAAACACGTTTATAAAAGAAAAACTGACTTTTATTTTATGTTGTTATTATATATATAATTATATAAGCAGCATGTTCATCCGTATCAGACAGCTCTAAAGGACTTCACTGTGAATATAAAAGAAATAAATATAAATACAGAGAAAAGACAGAAGATGAAGTCTAAAGGTGTAAAACAGCTCCATGACTGTACTGCAGAGCCTTCACCAAATAATACAGACGTTTACAGACGTTTACAGACACTCACAAACATTTACAGACATTTACAGACGTTTACAGACATTTACAGACACTCACAAACATTTACAAACATTTACAGACGTTTACAGACATTTACAGACACTCACAAACATTTACAGACGTTTACAGACATTTACAGAAAAATCATCTACAATCATTTATCGAGCAATAATTCACAGACATTTAAAGACAGACTCTACAGAAACATTTACAGACATTAACAAATATTCACAGACATTAACTGACATTTACAGACATTAACAGAAAAATCATTTACAAACATTAACAGACATTAACAGACACTCACAATCATTTACAGACATTTACAGACATTAATAGACATTTATAAATACTCACAGACATATTTAGACATTAACATACATGATCATACATGTACAGAAAAATCATTTACAAACATTTACAGACATTTATAAATACTCACAGACATTTACATTAATTTATAAATACTCACAGACATATTTAGACATTAACATACGTGATCATACATGTACAGAGAATCATTTACAGACGCTCACAGACATCAACAGAAGAATCGTTTCCAGCAGGTCCTTCAGGTACAGACAGAAACACGACTCATCGTCTCAGACAGTTTCAGGATTTTCGATCCCTCTCCATCAGACTGATTTATTTTCACCCTCTCACTCCTTCACGTCCCTAAAATGATTGTCATTAAAATCAAAAAGAGGAGAGGGTTTTCTTCACGCAGCTGCAGGTCCACAACATTTCCAGCAGCCGTCACATTATTTTTGTCTGTTCCTCTGTCCATCGACACTCACAGTTAAAATAACAGGAGATTCACTCATTTACATTAACGTCTGTGTGAATTTATCCTTCAGATCTACACACTCTCTGTAAACATGAAAATAGGATTCACTCGCTGTTACCTGTTCACTGGAAACCATGTTTCACTCACACAAACACACAAAATTAAATTCATCAAACGTGTAAAAAGGACAAAAGTTCTCAGACAGATTAAAGTTGTCGTGATTGAAGAGTTCACAGAAACACACAGAGCTCTGAAGAGTTCAAAATACGACCGTCCTCCTGAAACAGACGAGTGAACAGCTGATTAAAGACGCTTCGATATAAAAATCCATCCTGAGACCATCTTTAAAAACATTTCATCAAAAATTCAAACTAAAGTCCGATCTCCTCCGCTCTGTAAATACAGACGTGGTTTCATATTTACTTTCACATCTTTATTTTAGATTTACAATTACTGTTTTATATTTACTATTTTATATTAACTGTAATACATTTACTGTGTTACATTAACTGTTTAACAATTACTGTATGATATTTACTGTGTAATTTTCACTATTTTATATTAACTGTGTTACAATTACTGTTTTATATTAACTGTAATACATTTACTGTATGATATTTACTATTTTATTTTAACTGTAATACATTTACTGTGTGATATTTACTGTGTTACATTTACAAGGTACTATTTACTGTAATACATTTACTGTAATACATTCACTATGATATATTTACTGTATAATATTTACTGTGTGATATTTACTGTAGTACATTTACTGTGTTACATTTACAAGGTACTATTTACTGTGTTACATTTACTATGATATGTTTACTGTATAATATTTACTATTTTATATTAATTGTGAAACATTTTTGTGTTACATTTACTGATTTATATTTAGTTTGTATATTTAGTGTGTTTATCAATTGTGTATATTTAGTTTTTTGTTTTTAGTTTGTTTTATTTAGTGTGTATATCTGGTCATGAGTATATTTATTGTGTGTATTTATTGTGTATATTTATTGTGTTTATATTTAGTGTGTTGTATTTAGTGTGTATATTTAGTGTGTGTATCTGGTCGTGTGTATATTTATTGTGTATATTTATTGTGTATATTTATTGTGTATATTTAGTGTTTATATTTAGTGTGTTGTATTTAGTGTGTGTATCTAGTCGTGTGTTTACTCGGTGTGTATATTAAGTGTGTGTATCTGGTCGTGTGTATATTTATTGTCAATATTTATTGTGTATATTTATTGTGTTTATATTTAGTGTGTTGTATTTAGTGTGTGTATCTGGTCGTGTGTATATTTATTGTCAATATTTATTGTGTATATTTATTGTGTATATTTAGTGTGTATACTTAGTGTGTTGTATTTAGTGTGTATATCTGGTCGTGTGTATATTTATTGTGTATATTTATTGTATTTATATTTAGTGTGTATATTTATTGTCAATATTTATTGTGTATATTTATTGTGTATATTTAGTGTGTATACTTAGTGTGTATATTAAGTGTGTATATCTGGTTGTGTGTATATTTATTGTGTGTATTTATTGTGTATATTTATTGTGTTTATATTTAGTGTGTATATTTAGTGTGTTGTATTGAGTGTGTGTATCTGGTCGTGTGTTTACTCGGTGTGTATTCATGAATCCGAAGCACAAATAAAAGCAGAAATGAGGCGGACCGTCCCGGTGAGTGATTTTGGAGCACTGGCATGTTGACGTGAGGTTAATTTGTCATTAGCTGCTTAATTGTGAGCATGTGGAGGAGCTGATGACACTGAATTACCTGCATTTAAACACCTGTGTGTCTTCACCTGTCTGCCAACAAACAATGGAAGCACGGTGACTCTGGGTCTGCTGTTGGACGTGGAGCTCTGTGAAAGAGTCAAACTGAGAGCTGCTCAGGTTCTGATGGTGATCCTCAGGTGAGAGTCGGAGTCCCTCAGGGTCACCTGGATGTTCTTCTGAGGAGGATCGCAGAGATGGAGGATCAGATCCAGGTTTCTGCTCTAAATATCAATGATAGTTTAAAAATATGACGACATTTTCAGATGAAAATCCTGCTGAGCAATAATCAATAATCAGAATTTGAATGATCATTTCAGTTCTCCTTCCTGCTGAAATCTGACCTGCTGCTTCTTTAACTTATTTACTCTAAATATAAAGGTTGGAGTTTTAGATTGTTCATATTTTTTATATGTTTGTTAATATAGTGCTACTGCTACGTTAGCTTCTTTCTCTGTTAGCTCCCTGCTACGTTAGCTTCTTTGTCTGTTAGCTCCCTGCTACGTTAGCTTCTTTCTCTGTTAGCTCCCTGCTACGTTAGCTTCTTTCTCCGTTAGCTTCCTGCTACGTTAGCTTCTTTCTCCGTTAGCTTCCTGCTACGTTAGCTTTCTCTGTTAGCTCCCTGCTACGTTAGCTTCTTTCTCCGTTAGCTTCTTTCTCCGTTAGCTCCCTGCTACGTTAGCTGTGTTGTCAGTGAACCCCTCTGTGCTGTCAGTGTTTTTGTCGGTTACCTTTACTCGGTCAGATCTCTGCGCAGTGATTCGACCCTGATAAAGTCTCATTTGTCGTATTTTCTTTGTAAAGAGTTAAACTCTCAGTTGAAAGTTTTCTTCGGTATCTGAGAGTCTGGACTTTATCAGAACTTTGTGCTGTCGGTCTCTCGTTCATAAGCCGCTCCTCTCCACACACTCATTTAGAAGAACAATGACATTTTATTTCAGAACAAATCAATAATTTTCCAGGTTAGTTTGAGAATGAAAAGTCTGTGATTTAAAATAAAAACGGTTCCTCTGAATGATTCCTCTCCTCTGACACAGCTGCTGAACTTTCTGTTGAGACGGACGCTTCCCTATAAAGATGTTCTCTTTTTATTCAACAATCACACACATCGACGAGGAGCCACAATTATAAATATAAATATATTTATCTTCTCATTTTTTAAGCAGGAATAAAAATCTGAATCCACTCTGTCCTCGAGGAAACTCTTCCCAAACATCTGGAGGGAAAACGTCAAATCCAGAATATCAACCAGGAGCGAAACACAGGAAGTCTGATTCAAACAAAACCGTCATGGTTATTATAGTAGTTACAATAATAATCATAATCATAATCATAATAATAATAACAATAACAATAATAATAATAATAATAATGATAATAATAATAATAATAATAATAATAATAATAATAATCATAATAATAATAATTAATAACAATAATAATGACTTCCACAGATGATGAACAGAGACGATCAGGTTTTACTCGCTGCTGCCTGTCGATGGTCAGGGTGTATTTGTGCTTCTTTATCATGAATTGATTCAATCCGAACTGAAATAAAATCAAACTGGATCTCTGGTCCTGATGTTGGAGAAAAGTCATTTTCATGACGGTCAATCTGGCAGCAGGAAACCTCTCTGTGTGTCGAGTCTGTTAAACAAACTGTCTCTCTATCGAGCGTCAAAAATGGTGAAATGTCCCTTTAAAGACTTGACAGACTGTCCTCGTTGATCGTTTTAGTTTTAGGTTTATTTCTGATGGTTTATTTAAAGAGATTTTGACTTCCTCCTGTTCGCTGCTCCTCTGTCTCTGCTTTCCTTTCACACTACGATACGTGACAGTGATCACCGACTGTACACGCCTTTTCACAAGGCATTGTGGGAAAGAGTGAGTCCACTCCACAGTGAATTCAGACCGCATTAAAAACACGGTATTTTCAGCGTTTTAACAGAAGCTGATGTTTTATCCTCACGGCTGCCTGAAGCCAGATCTTCAGATTAGTGTTTTATTTACGACAACAAAGGAAAAAGTTCTCCGACTCTTCAGTGACTCTGAACTGTTGAAAGAAACCACCTGAAGTTTCCCATCAGCCCCGGGAGTGAAAACATCCTGCAGGGACGAGTGGACGGACGGATGTGGACGGGACAGAGCGTCAGTCTGATACGTCTGATACAGATTCAGACGCTCGTCCATCAAGTGATTCAAAGTTGTTTCTGTCTTTAATCAGCTGACGGGTGTCCAACGCGGCGTCCTGAGGGGATAATTAAGGAGCTGCTGCTGCTGATGGTGCTGCTGATGGTGCTGATGGTGGTGGAGAGTTAAAGTCAGTGGTATCTAACAGCACTTTACTGACTCACACAAAGTGGTTTGGGATTTCTTCTTCTGCAGGTTTGAGAGAGAGGAACTCCCTGGACAGGAGCGACTTTGTGTTTTTAATCCTCTTTGATGATAAGAAGAAGAACCTGACGTGTCTGTGTGTCCTCGGCGTCCCTCTGTCTGACGGCCACAGATGATAAATGGATGTTTCTGCATTATGCATGCCTGTTTTGTTGGGACCGTGTTCATCCGAGCACTTAGTCTCTCAAAACCTGATGAGCTCCTCCTTCAGCTTTCTGCCCCATTTCCCCGCTCTCCTCCTCCTCCTCCTCCTCCTCCTCCTCCTGCTGCTCCTCCTCGTTGGCTGGATTTACGTCTTTGGCAGCATTAATGTTTAAACCCACTGTTTGTCTGAGCCGCACTTTGTTTTGTCATTAAAGTGGAAGAGCAGCACATGTCCCCTTCTCAAAGACAATCCTGCTAAGTGAAAGGAAGGTAAAAAATTCATCAGCAGATTTAGATTCTTGTAACACTTTACATCCGACAGCTGCGGCTGAAGAGGCTCCATCTGATCCGCTTTGTTCGCTGACACTCAGAAGAACGGCTGCCGACGTCTGCGGCCGCGTTTGACCTTCTCAAATATCCACTTTGAACTAATGTTTACGAACGTCTCTGCAGCTCTGTGGAGGGTCCGGGTTTGGGTCCAGGTCATCTTTGGGGACCTCTTCTGATCCGACTCATCAGACTTTGGTGAAGAACTTTTGTCGTCTTGATCGTATTTCTCTAAAGTTTTTGTACTTTGGTTTCATTCAGAGACGGAAAGCTCATGTCCTCCACACGCTCCGTCTGCTCACAGGGTCCGGGTTTGGGTCCAGGTTTGGGTCCGGGTTTGGGTCTGGGTTTGGGTCCAGGTTTGGGTCCGGGTTTGGGTCTGGGTTTGGGTCCAGGTTTGGGTCCGGGTTTGGGTCCAGGTTTGGGTCCAGGTTTGGGTCCGGGTTTGTGTCCAGGTTTGGGTCCAGGTTTGGGTCCGGGTTTGGGTCCGGGTTTGGGTCCAGGTTTGGGTCCAGGTTTGGGTCCAGGTTTGGGTCCGGGTTTGGGTCCAGGTTTGTGTCCGGGTTTGTGTCCGGGTTTGTGTCCGGGTTTGGGTCCAGGTTTGGGTCCAGGTTTGGGTCCGGGTTTGTGTCCGGGTTTGTGTCCGGGTTTGGGTCCGGGTTTGGGTCCGGGTTTGTGTCCGGGTTTGGGTCCGGGTTTGGGTCCGGGTTTGGATCCGGGTTTGGGTCAGGGTTTGGGTCCAGGTTTGGGTCCGGAGCGGACACTCGCTTCATTTCAAACTGAGGTTTTGTTGCTTTTTTTTCCAAACCAAATGTCCTAAAGTAGATTCTGTGCAGATGTAAATATGACGCACATACACACTTATATCCTGTTTTAACTCAAAGTTTCTTTATCCTCTAATTTTTCTCTTTTTGTTTTTATACTTCTGTGATTCTGGAATTCTCCCCTGTGGGACTCTAAAGGAACATCTTATCTTATCTTCAGCAGGATTATGTTGTGAGATTTTCTCATTTTGGTTTATTTTTTGTCTCAAATCGGCCTCTTGTTGTGTTTCAAAAGTAAATCGGGAAAACTCCGATTACAGAAGACGAGCTCTGAAATATCAGACAGGAAATAAACTGTCCAACCACGAGGTTTAAATCAAAGTGAAACTCTGGTTTCCTGAAAACAAACACAGACAGATGAGGTTTAAGAGTCTGGATTTTTAATAACACTTCTGCTAAGATGAGGAGCTGCTGCAGTGATTTCTGATTGTTGTTTATCAAAAGAGTCAGTCGTAGGGTTCTCGCTCAAAAACAGAGGAAAAGAAAGGCGGAGTCAAAACTACGGCGATGGTGACATTTATCTATAGCGGGTTTCCCATGATGCAGTGCAAAAATATTAACAAAAAGGTGCAAAAATGGTCAAAATACGATTTACAAAAATGTACGAGGCAAAAAAAAAAAAGACAACGGCAGTAATGGAAGAAGAGATTCTCCGATGAGTCCAGATTCTGACGCAGGAAAAATAATCAGCAGCAAAACAAGAAAAATCTGAGGAGCAGACGGTTAAAAAAAAAGACATTTATTCACTTTTAAACCATTTTAACCCTCTTTTAACTTCCAGACCTTTGAAAAACATTTTCACATGAATCAATGGAGCCTGAATTTTTTTAAAGATTTATAATAAACGACACGGGATTACGCTTCCCGGCGTCACGTGACTCCTTTGGACCGCCATAACCATCCATATTACACCCAGAAATGACGCGCTCTGTTGACTCGTGTGAAGCCGTCATGATGGTGTGGATGGACGCCCGGCATAGATATATATCTAATCACTAGATGGCTCACGCACGCTGTTAGCTAATGGAGACCGACGTCTGTGCATGGCGGCCATTTTGCTACGGGACGCTCGCCCACTCATCACATTCCAGTCTACGGTTCGAGAAACATTTAAATAACCACAGACTGATTAACTTCAGATAACTAACTTGTTTTATAACAAACCTCAGAGTTTTAGTTCCTGAATACTCAAGAACGATTTTAACCATAAATTTACATAAATAAACATTAAACAGATAGAACAAGATAGGTCTACACACACAAGGACGTTATATTTAATCATTTAAAACAGTTAATTATTACATGTATGTTTTATTAGTAATAACACACACATATATATATATTTATATATATATATATATATATATATATATATATATATATATATATATATATATATATATATATATATATATATATATATATATATATATATATATATATATATATATATATATATATATATATATATATATATATATATATATATATATATATATGTGTATATATATATATATATATATACATATATATATATATATATGTATGTATATATCAATACTCTGGTTTTCTTCTTTTTCTACAGTAACAAAGAAAGGACAAACTAGTGACCATGTGCTTTTGTGTTTGTTGTGACATGTTTGATGGTCGCTCACGGAGGATCAGACTGGTTTATTTTTGGCCACCGCTTCACTGATGGAAGGAGTGAGTTAGGGGGCGCTCTAGGCCACCTTCTTCTCCACACTGAACCTTTACGGTGGGCCTAAACCCAGACGAGACACCCTGAAGGACGCAGCTGATAACAGAGTCCACCTTCATGGTCTCCAGCTGAGCTCTAGTTTACATCAGCAGATAGAACCGCCTCCCGTTCCGGTTCCTCCGCCTCCCGTTCCGGTTCCTCCGCCCCTCTCGTGAAGCGGAGAGGATGGAGCTGACGCTCCCTTCATGGAGAGGAAGGACACGTTTACAGACGGAGAAAACAGTTCAGGGCGGTTCTTGAACGCACCTCATTGATTGAAGCCCCAGTTAATATCCGTACCTGAACACATCAGGACTGTTGAAGTTCCTGAGCAGAGTCTCTGCATGTCCTACCGTTGGTGCGGTCCCTGAATGCATCACAGCTTATAACTGATTATAGTTTCTCCTGCTGACCGTGGGGGTTCTAATGTCCAGTCAGAGGAGACAGAGACAGGGTCATTGAATGCATCATCAGAACCTGCAGACACATTCAGACCCTCTGTCGGTCATCTCTGTCCTCTCACGGCGCCGTGGACCTCAGGTTGAGCCTCTGAGCTGGTTTATTTGCATCCTGATGGCTCCCAGCGGGAGAGTTGAACATAACAGTTCTCATGAACGCAGCGCAGTCATTTAAATTGCTAATTATGATGGAACAAATAAATAAAACATGACCTTAGCGTGTTTTTATCTCTCACTGTAAAAACTTTGGGCCACAGTAAATCTCCTCCAATCGTCTGTCAGCGTCCGAGCCCGCTGATGACTCGCCTGTTGTCGGGTAGATGCTGCTGAAGTTTCATCAGGCGCTTTGTAAATGTCACCGGGTTGATAAATATCATTTTATTATTATAATTGTTGTTCTCTGTTTGTCGTTTTGATTTCATGTCATCGGAGATCGGAAATGAGGACCGACCCGACGGATCCGGACTCTGGACTGATCTGGATTCTGGTGTTGTTGTCCGGGCCTGACTGTCACTGATGGGATCGAAGATTTCCACGAAGTTCATTTGACTTTACGTTTCGTTCTGGAACAAACTGGAACGTTCTTTTCTCATTTAACCAGCGCTCAGGCCACACCCCCGACCTCCACCTTCATCCTGATGGTCTCCTAAAAGGTCGTATCCTCCGATCATAGCTGATCGTAACCATTCAAGTTAACGTGTCAATTTACACCGACTTCTTTCCGTCGGACGCCGGAGCATGGCGGATAAATTCAGCACAGATGAACCCGTGCTGGAAAGGAAGTCGGGCACAGACTTCAAAATAAAACATCCGGCTTCTTTTCAAAATAAAAGTCCACGCTGATCCTGATCCTGGTCCTGGTCCTGATCCTGATCCTGGTCCTGATCCTGGTCCTGGTCCTGATCCTGATCCTGATCCTGATCCTGGTCCTGGTCCTGGTCCTAATCCTGGTCCTGGTCCTGATCCTGGTCCTGATCCTGGTCCTGGTCCTGGTCCTGGTCCTGATCCTGGTCGTGATCCTGATCCTGATCCTGGTCCTGGTCCTGATCCTGGTCCTGGTCCTGATCCTGGTCCTGATCCTGATCCTGGTCCTGGTCCTGATCCTGATCCTGATCCTGGTCCTGGTCCTGATTCTGGTCCTGATCCTGGTCCTGGTCCTGATCCTGGTCCTGGTCCTGGTCCTGGTCCTGATCCTGGTCCTGGTCCTGATCCTGGTCCTGGTCCTGATCCTGGTCCTGGTCCTGGTCCTGGTCCTGATCCTGGTCCTGGTTCTGGTCCTGGGCAGAAAGACTTGAATCTAAAATGTATGAAAGCAGCAGGAGGTAGAAATGAGGAGTACATATCTGTGCTGAGTATTGATCCAGATATTGATCCGAGTCCGCTGTGGTCGGGTCAGCTCTAAACCTGAATGATAGAGTGGAGGTCAAAGGTCAGCGCCACCTGGGTCATCCCGCTCGGGTCATGAATGATGGAGAGGAGCAGAGTTAACCTTGCTGAGCTGAATAAAGACGGAGGTTTCTCAGGAGAGTGAAGTGATTAAAATGTTTCCTCTGAAGAAACACGAGGCTGTGAAGGTGATCCGTGTTCAACGACCAGAGGATTCATTTATAATCTTCATCAACAAAGTCAATTATCACGGACGCAGAGCCTCGTCTTCATCACACAAACACGCAAACATGAAACACGCCAAGCTGCCGTGAAAAGAGCTCAGCTTCATCCTGTTTGCAGCGTGACACGCAGAGGGCCGCCGCCACCGCCGCCGCCTCCTCCTCACGCAGGGAGACTCTCTCTCTCTCTCTCCCTCTCTCTCTCTCTCTCTCTCTCTCTCTCTCTCTCTCTCTCTCTCTCTCTCTCTCTCTCTCTCTCTCTCTCTCTCTCTCTCTCTCTCTCTCTCTCTCTCTCTCTCTCTCTCTCTCAGATATCAGAGTGTCGTCACAGAAGGACTCTGACCTGAAAGGAAACTCTCTTCATAAACAAAATTACTTCATAGCATCTTCAGGCTCCAGAACCAGTCCAGTTCTTGGAACATGCAGGTCTACCTCAGAAACAGGACCTCTGATACCAGTCTCCAAGACCAGCAGAGACCTCCATGGTTTAGGTAACAGGGTGAAGCTGCTGCTAACATCTGGACATGAACCCGTCTGAGCTGTTTTTAGAGTATAGATGTTAAATCTAGGAGAGGTAGATGTGAGTTATCAGACCTTCAGATTTAGAGTCATCTACTGGTCTGAGAGGCCGACACCCTCTCCACTGATCCATCTAAGAGTGAAGGTGGTCTGAGGCTCCACCGGACCCTTAGACAGGCTTCTATAGTCCAGACTTCTGTAGTCCAGACTTCTATAGTCCAGACTTCTATAGTCCAGACTTCTATAGTCCAGACTTCTGTAGTCCAGACTTCTATAGTCCAGACTTCTATAGTCCAGACTTCTATAGTCCAGACTTCTGTAGGTCCAGACTTCTATAGTCCAGACTTCTATAGTCCAGACTTCTGTAGGTCCAGACTTCTATAGTTCAGACTTCTAATGTCCAGACTTCTGTAGGTCCAGACTTCTATAGTCCAGACTTCTATAGTCCAGACTTCTATAGTCCAGACTTCTGTAGGTCCAGACTTCTATAGTCCAGACTTCTATAGTCCAGACTTCTATAGTCCAGACTTCTATAGTCCAGACTTCTGTAGGTCCAGACTTCTATAGTCCAGACTTCTGTAGGTCCAGACTTCTGTAGGTCCAGACTTTTTTGGGTCCAGACTGACTCAGACTCTTACAGCCTGCTGTGGTCTTTTATCGTTTTCGGTTTCACTCGTTTTGAGCTGAACGTTTCTGAAAGCTTCGATTCTCTCTGTTCAGTCCTAAACCAGTGGACCTGGACTCTTGGACCAGTTCTGATCTCCAGTCTGGTTTTGGTTGAAGTTTCCTCGTGTTATCGGCAGTTATCTTGTACGATGGCGGGTAAGAGTCGGGTTTTTAAAATCATGTGATCAGTCCGTTTCCATGACACTAAACCGAATTATCGTCTTATTCCGATTCAGACCGCTGAAGGTCATGTAAACACTTTAGTCCGACTATAATCAGAGTCTGAGAACTTCCAGATAATCTGATTTTCTCTACCATGTAACCAGCGTAGTCGGAGTATGACGCCACGCCCCCGTAACCCCGTAACAAACCCCCAGAGTAGAGGAGTAGCGTTGGTCTCCTCTTTAGAAAAAGTAGCGCGTCCATCATGTCGGACAAAAACAACGCTGTACGATGCTCCATCTTCTTGTTTCTCCAAAATGCCCAGCAGCAGTTGTAGACACTTCTGACGTCTGACACCGACCTGCTGTTGTTGTTGACGGTTGGATGGGGTCGGAAACAGCGCCGCTGAAAAGACCCATATCGCCCCCTAGTGTTGGGGAGGAGGACACGTTCACGTCAATAATTCAGTTTTCTCAGCTGCATGTAAACGAGGACGAGGAGAGAAGTCTGATTCAGAGAAAAAGACGAATTATGAGTTTAGTCGATTAAACTGAGACTGTAAACGAACTGAGAGACTCTGGACTCTGAAGGACTGTCAGAGACTCTGGACTCTGAAGGACTGTCAGTGACTCTGGACTCTGAAGGACTGTCAGAGACTCTGGACTCTGAAGGACTGTCAGTGACTCTGGACTCTGAAGGACTGTCAGAGACTCTGGACTCTGAAGGACTGTCAGAGACTCTGGACTCTGAAGGACTGTCAGTGATTCTGGACTCTAAAGGACTGTCAGAGACTCTGGACTCTGAAGGACTGTCAGTGTCTCTGGACTCTGAAGGACTGTCAGAGACTCTGGACTCTGAAGGACTGTCAGAGACTCTGGACTCTGAAGGACTGTCAGAGACTCTGGACTCTGAAGGACTGTCAGAGACTCTGGACTCTAAAGGACTGTCAGAGACTCTGGACTCTGAAGGACTGTCAGAGACTCTGGACTCTGAGGGACTGTCAGTGATTCTGGACTCTGAAGGACTGTCATTGATTCTGGACTCTGAAGGACTGTCAGAGACTCTGAAGGACTGTCAGTGATTCTGGACTCTGAAGGACTGTCAGAGACTCTGGACTCTGAAGGACTGTCAGAGACTCTGGACTCTGAAGGACTGTCAGTGACTCTGGACTCTGAAGGACTGTCAGAGACTCTTGACTCTGAAGGACTGTCAGTGACTCTTGACTCTGAAGGACTGTCAGAGACTCTGGACTCTAAAGGACTGTCAGAGACTCTGGACTCTGAAGGACTGTCAGAGACTCTGGACTCTGAGGGACTGTCAGTGATTCTGGACTCTGAAGGACTGTCAGTGATTCTGGACTCTGAAGGACTGTCAGAGACTCTGAAGGACTGTCAGTGATTCTGGACTCTGAAGGACTGTCAGTGATTCTGGACTCTGAAGGACTGTCAGTGATTCTGGACTCTGAAGGACTGTCAGTGATTCTGGACTCTGAAGGACTGTCAGAGACTCTGGACTCTGAAGGACTGTCAGAGACTCTGGACTCTGAAGGACTGTCAGTGACTCTGGACTCTGAAGGACTGTCAGAGACTCTGGACTCTGAAGGACTGTCAGTGATTCTGGACTCTAAAGGACTGTCAGAGACTCTGGACTCTGAAGGACTGTCAGAGACTCTGGACTCTAAAGGACTGTCAGAGACTCTGGACTCTGAAGGACTGTCAGAGACTCTGGACTCTGAGGGACTGTCAGTGATTCTGGACTCTGAAGGACTGTCAGTGATTCTGGACTCTGAAGGACTGTCAGAGACTCTGAAGGACTGTCAGTGATTCTGGACTCTGAAGGACTGTCAGTGATTCTGGACTCTGAAGGACTGTCAGTGATTCTGGACTCTGAAGGACTGTCAGAGACTCTGGACTCTGAAGGACTGTCAGAGACTCTGGACTCTGAAGGACTGTCAGTGACTCTGGACTCTGAAGGACTGTCAGAGACTCTGGACTCTGAAGGACTGTCAGTGACTCTGGACTCTGAAGGACTGTCAGTGACTCTGGACTCTGAAGGACTGTCAGAGACTCTGGACTCTGAAGGACTGTCAGTGATTCTGGACTCTAAAGGACTGTCAGAGACTCTGGACTCTGAAGGACTGTCAGAGACTCTGGACTCTAAAGGACTGTCAGAGACTCTGGACTCTGAAGGACTGTCAGAGACTCTGGACTCTGAAGGACTGTCAGAGACTCTGGACTCTGAAGGACTGTCAGTGATTCTGGACTCTGAAGGACTGTCAGAGACTCTGGACTCTGAAGGACTGTCAGTGATTCTGGACTCTGAAGGACTGTCAGAGACTCTGGACTCTGAAGGACTGTCAGTGTCTCTGAAGGACTGTCAGTGTCTCTGGACTCTGAAGGACTGTCAGAGACTCTGGACTCTGAAGGACTGTCAGTGATTCTGGACTCTGAAGGACTGTCAGAGACTCTGGACTCTGAAGGACTGTCAGAGACTCTGGACTCTGAAGGACTGTCAGTGACTCTGGACTCTGAAGGACTGTCAGTGACTCTGGACTCTGAAGGACTGTCAGTGACTCTGGACTCTGAAGGACTGTCAGAGACTCTGGACTCTGAAGGACTGTCAGTGATTCTGGACTCTGAAGGACTGTCAGAGACTCTGGACTCTGAAGGACTGTCAGAGACTCTGGACTCTGAAGGACTGTCAGTGTCTCTGGACTCTGAAGGACTGTCAGTGATTCTGGACTCTGAAGGACTGTCAGTGTCTCTGGACTCTGAAGGACTGTCAGTGTCTCTGGACTCTGAAGGACTGGGCTCTCTTTGAGGACTGGTACCTGACGTTCCCCAGCTCCTCTTCAGGATCTAAAGCCCGCCTCCCTGTCTTTAGTTCTGATCCAAAGGGACGGAGCAGCGGGCGGAGGTGTGCCGAGGATAAACTCTCGTCTCTTTCTCTGTCAAACTTTAGTTTTCGCTCAATTTTCCCGAAACAAAGAAAAGAACGGAGATAAATGAGTAAAGAGGACGGCCCTCCTCCACGCTGGATCCATGTGGCGCTCTGATGTAATATTGATGACCCTCCTTGTCTCTTGACGACCCCCGTTTGGTCGTCTCATGTTTTATCAAATATTCACGAACCTCTGCGTCCCCTCGCCCTCAGATCCCATAATGCATCTGTAATGTTGTGTCAGGTGAGGCATGATGGGAGAGCTGATGATGGAGTGAAGCTCCTGAAGGGACGGAGGAGGAGGAGGAGGAGGAGGATAATTCCTGATCACAGGCAGGAAGTTTCTCTCTCTCTCTCTCTCCTCCGTCTGTAAAGTTTTCAAAGTGTCAGGAGCCCCGAGGTGGCGCTCTGAGGAACGCCACGCCGGGCCTCTTTCTTTGTTTTGCACCGTCTCCGCCTGAGGACTCTGCTGCTCCGGTGTTTCGACAGGTTCACTTTCCAAAACAACGTTCACTGAGCGTTGACTTTGCTCTCGTGTTCGCTCACTGTTGTTTGGGTTTACAGGTGTGGTGTGAATTAGGGGGCGTCGACATCTACAGGTGTGAACAGATACACGGATAACAAATCATAACGTTTAGAAAAATCAACACCGTTTACACGTCTTTGTTTTCTCCATCTTCAGATGAGAAATCCGACACTATGACTCTCCACCAGTCGTCCTTCAGGTCGTTATCTTTGTAACGTTTGTGTCTTTATCAAAAATCACTCTGTTCTCCGACATGTAAACAATCAGACGGTCGGCCATGTTGGATATACCGGTGAATCTGA